TTGAAGTATTTATTATGGGGCCCTAGTCAGCTATCTTGGGATGGTGGCCCCCATGTGCCCATCTAAGACCCAGGATCTTCTCATCCTTCCTGTTACACTATTTGTGGTTAGGTAAGCAAACAAGGACATAACTTGCTCCAACTTGTCATCCATTGCCTGGAACAGTTGCTTAGTATCAGGTCCCTCATCCATTGATGGTTTCTTCTGACTTTCCAAGTTCTACCACCTGTATTCCTACCTTTCTTTCCCCCTACTGGCTGATGTTTTATTGTCCCCACTTTCTTGGAGAGTGATTTCTTGTTGGAGGTTAACTTTCTACCTCCCAACCCTAGCACAGCTTTTTCAGCCTCCAGGGCATAAATGCTGCCTTGCTGGGCCATTCTTCTACGCATTACTAGTGCCTTCTGGACTAGAGTGAACATTTAGCTCATGGGGGTTTTATGTGAATCTAAATCAGCTCTGTTCTTTCTCTGACATAGGTTAGTATCTTTTCCAGATATAGCTGCTTCATATGAGGGTACTGGTCTGGATTTACAACACCACTAGCACTGAAGCAAACCCACCTCATTTCTCCATAGAAAGACCTGTTGGTGTCATCCTTACACCCTGCCCTTTGGTTTACAAGCTTTTTTTTGTATCTATGCATAGTAGTTGATTAGCCCAAGGCATGGTTTTTCAAAGTTCTGGCTGCTGTCTAGGGATGGGGTTTGTGGTTAATGTCCTCTTTAAAAAAAACAAAAACAAAAACTAATTTTATCATTTTCTGAAACACCTTCAAAATTTGCTAGGGAAGTTTTGACCATAGTAATATGCTCATGAATTTTGAGCTCCCTGCGTATAGGAATCAAATTGATCAATATTTAGCTTCCTCAAACAATTATTTTCCTTCTGGGTCTTCAGGTATGGTGTGCCCTTCCCTGGGAAGGGTTCTCTCTTTGAGGACTCCAGGAGCTGCAGGGGTCTTTTTAACCTCCACTTAAGAGTACTCCTGACAACTCATGGTTCTTGTCCTCAACCCTTCTACATTCTGCAATTTTCCTATCCACCCTATTGTTTATCCCTCTGAAGGCCTCAGCCACTTGATCTATTTCTACCCATAAACTGTCTACATCAGGGGTCGGCAACCTTTCAGAAGTGGTGTGCCGAGTCTTCATTTATTCACTCTAATTTAAGGTTTCACATGCTAGTAATATATTTTAACGTTTTCAGAAGGTCTCTTTCTATAAGTCTGTAATATATAACTAAACTATTGTTGTATGTAAAATAAACTTGCCTCTGTAAATAGAGAGGATCATCTAAATTAACTCAAGGGCCACATGTATTTCCTACCAAACTAAGGCCCTGATCCTGCCAACACTCCCATGTGTGCATAGCTTTACTCATGAGTAATCACATTGAAATAAATAAGATAAATAGGTGTTCCCAGCAGCCTGAAACTTTGTCTCTGGCCAAAGATTAAACCAAAGTGACTTCAGATATACAAAGCATTTCTGTGAGATAACTCAGGTTTATGCTTCCCAAACAGTCATGCTGAAGATGATTAAAACTTTTATCTGATGTTTTTTAAACTACCCTATAAACAGTGTGGCTTAGTAAATAGAGCCCAAGGCCAGTTGGGACCACTACGATTGAGTCTGACCTCCTCTACAGATGTAAGCCAGTCTGAATTTTTCTATCTTCAACTTCCAGCCATTGCATCTTGTTATACCTTTTGTCTGGTAGATTGAAGAGCTCATTCCCAATATTTGTTCCCCCTGTAGGTAATTATAGACTGTGATCAAGTCATCCCTGCACCTTCTCTTTAAGCTAAATAGATTCTCAGCTCCTCACCCTGCTCTCAGCACTCTGGATCCTATTCCTGGTTCTGCCACTGGCCTAATGGCTGACTGTGGCAAGTTACTTCACTGATCCCTGCCTCAGTTTCCCTGTCTGTAAAATGGGGGTGATTATAGTGAACACCTTTATAAAGTGCTGTGAGATCTACTGATATCTCTCTCTTCTATAGCACTTATTATTTTTATTATTAACTCAAGCTGGAAAAAGTTTAGGACATATAGGGGTGCATGGGAAGAGAGAACAGAGCTCAAACTGACTTACATTCTTGACCTTTTCCTGTATTGTGTTTGTTTTGTTTCTAGGTTCCTCATTTGAACCAGAAAGCCTGGAATAACCTGGAGAAATACTGCAGGAGTTTAACAAAGTACAACAAGAATGTATATGTCTGCACTGGCCCACTCTTCTTACCCAGGTAAATACCAGAACTGGATTGAAACGGATCTTAAAACACGCATCATACAAGGAAATTAAGATGGGCTAAGAATGTGACTTGTCTTGTCATGCTCTCAGGATAAAGGTCAGAAATAGCAATAGAGTGGATACTTTTTTAAACACTCCCACAGTTTCCATGTATGCATGTAGGGACTTTGTGGGCTAGTTTGTTATGCTTGGGATTAGTTTATACATTTTTCAATTGAATAAACCCCTGAAGGGACACTATCAGATTACCTGGGTAGAATTAAAAGGGAAATAATTTGTGTTCCTTCAGTGCTTTCTTTCTGCACTTAGTTTGGGAGAATGACAGTCGCTTAGTCATCTTACGCTATATTTCAGTCACTTTTACAGTCTGGTTATCTTGTCAGATCTGGTACTAATAGTGCCACAAGTGCATTAGCCACAGGCTGCAATAAAGGGCTAATCTAGCCTCTTGCATAGTCAGATTTTCCAAATAAAGGTATAATCTTTGGCTGCAATGAACCATGTTTAGTGGCAATCACTTGAACAGACTCAGTTAAACAAGGACCAAATTAGATATGGTGATGGGGAGTGGAACGTGTTCTGCAGCATATTCATTCCTGTTTCACTGTGTAAAGGGTCTCCCAGATTAGGTGGGGGTCTAGACCCTGCTACAGCATTTGACAACTTTAAATCAAGAACTGATGTCTTTCTAAAAGACAAGTTTTATACAGGAAACACTGGGTGAAATTCTAGTCCTGCATTATGCAAGAGGTCAGACTCGATGATCATAAGAGCCCCTTCTGATCTTAGTTATGTATATATTAATCTAAAGCAATGGAAGACACAATCTGTGCCGAGGGATTTGTGCACGAGTACTAAGTAAGAGGCAGCAGTAACAGTCTTGTTCTTTGTGTAGGATGGAGGCAGATGGGAAGATGTACATCAAGTACCAGGTGATTGGCAAGAACAATGTAGCGGTCCCCACGCATTTCTTCAAAGTGCTCATCCTAGAGAAGCTCAATGGAGAGATTGAGCTGCGTTCCTATGTGATGCCCAACAGCCCGGTGGAGGAGACAATCCCACTTGAACGTTTCCTGGTTCCTATTGAGAGCATCGAGCGGGCATCGGGGTTGCTGTTTGTTCCTAACATCTTGAAAAGAACAAATCGTTTACAAGCCATCACTGCTGGACGCAACAGCTGAACTCACCCAGGGGATTGATGACAGAACACACTATGGGGGTGAAGGTATCCAGTGGAAGGGACTTAAGTTACTACGGTTATTTATCAGGGGTATGTATGGGCTCAAATTTATTCTCTCCCCGCCTCCCTGGCTTTTTTTTTTAAATGATCTAGGAGCTTTTCATGGGCCTGCAATTAATTAATAGGGTTATCTGTTTCCTGAGGAGGCAAATACCAAAGATTATGTACCCTTGAATGTTTGGTCCTAAAAATGGCTCCTGGAACTTAATAAAAAGTCAGCGCAGTATTTAAAAGTGCTTTCCCCACCTACTTCTATGCTTGGCTCAATGGGTGTATCTCTAGATGCTGCCCACAAAGCCCCCTTGACTCAGTTAAGAGGACACCAAAGGAAATGCTCTTACTGAGCTATATGCTTTCAGAGTATGAGGCACAGGGAAGCCACTTGGTTCTCAGGATTAACTTAATTTTGAGGGTGACTCTTTACTGTTATCCCTGTGGAACAATGCATTGTGTGCCAGTTTCACTAATCCATATTTTGGATTTTCAGTGAAAAAATTAGTAGTTTCTTACTAACAGCCAGTACCCTGATGGTCGACTGGACTCTTCCAACTATTTCTCTGGTCCTCCTTGTTTTAGCTTTGACTTAATGGACTCTGCTTGTCCTTTAATGTAAGTGGGTTTTAAGGTTCATAATTTCAGGTATGGAGCCAACTGCCCTCAGGAAAGCTCAATGCTGTCTTAAGAGTGAGGACATCAGTGAAGAAGTTCCATCCTTGGTGGCTGGTGTGGTGGCTTATAAGGCCCATGATCCTAAAGGACACTACACTTCCTGTAAGCAAGTTAACACTGTAATAGCAACAGACTCCTGCCAAAACGATTAGGCTTAACTCTAAGTATTTAACTCATAGTATTTACATAAGGAAGCTAGACACTCCCTCTACAGAAGAGAAATGAAGGAGCATTTACACTACCGTGTAATGGGTTGCATACCTACTGTAGCTGGCCCAACAGCACCATTGTTGCATGTAAGAAAGAGTTAATCTTTCACCCGTGCTAAAACTTTACATCAATATGAGGTCTAAATGGAGTACACCATGGGGTTAGTTGTGACACTCATGTCCACTAGATGGAGGAAAGTCCCAGGCACTCTTTGCAGTGGCTGGATCTCCAGAAATTTACACTCACCTTTGTTAGTGGGTACCTATTGCTGTATGTCAGTTTAAATGGTCATGTTACTGTTCAGCCTTGCAGCAAGAGAGCTGCTCTTCAGGCAGGTAGAGTGACTTGAAAACAGGGCTCCTCCTAGCCACAGAAGTTAAGTATCAGTTAACTTGCATATAATATCTTGAAGCTGCCCCAGTGTCCAGAAGCACTACCTTAACATTACTCTTGAAAGGCCACAAATGCTCATTAGCCACTTAGACCATGCTCTTTAGTGGTGCTGAGAAAACATCTCCTAGTGGCTTTCAGCAGGTATTCAATGCCTTTGCAGATCAGGTCCCTAATTCTTTGCCTCAACCCCCAATGACACTGCCCCCACTTTTAAAAACTCCAGTGCACTAAATAGGAGAGTTCTGTTTTATTTTTTTCAACACCTCTCTTGGTGCTGTGTGATCCACTGACAGGCTTCCCATGCTGATGTGAGGCAGCAGCCAGCTCCATTTACAAACAGTTTGGTCTAGGGAGTATGTTCCCCAACCAGTGTAGACTCGCAGTGCTTAATCTCAGTCTCAGGTTTGAGTCTATTAAAAAGCTGTAGCCATTTTGGTAATGGTACTGTACTTTTCTTGATCACTCTCAGAGGCTGGAGTGTAGCAGGCTGCCCTGGGGATTTAACCATCACCCCCAGCAGCTCTTCCTAGGTTTAGGGTTAGCATAACTTGGAATGAGCCATCTGCGGACAAGGAAGAGTGCTGGTGCAGATGAAAACGAGAGAAGGTAGGTTCAGTTCTGTAGATCAGTGTTTTTTTCCCCTTCAGCTACCAAGGGCTTTCCTCACAGCCTCATCAATGCGGGGTCTCAGTGCAGACAGAGATATCAGTACTGCTTCCTGGAACCAACAGAAAGTAGGGTCAGATCCACTGTTCAAAGGGTGGCACTTCAGCCCACATCACTTAATACAAACCAGTTTAATGATTGTTTACAGAAGGGTAGTAGTGGGATTCATGTGCTTGTACCTATAGCAGATATGCCTGCAAATGGGTGCAAAAATACACTAGCCCAGCCGGATTCACTAGTGAAACCTTTAGACTCTACAACAAACTTCATTGCTAAAGGGTAGTTTATAAGCTCTTTGGGCTTGGAATCATTTTTTGTTGGGGATTTGTACAGCACGTATCACAGTAGATTCCTATATGTCTCACTACCACAACTAATAATAAGTTTATCTCCCAGTTCAAACGCTGCACCTAAAGATCTGTTATAAAAAGAGTATGTATTTTAGAAAGACCACTTGTATAATTGGAGCTAGGAGGGCACTACCAAACCCCTTAGTTCACAGCTAGCTGAGACATGTTTTCCTCTAAGGAAGGAAGCTACTAGTAGGGGATTGATCCTTAGGAGGAAGATGCTGCCACGCAGCATGCTATTATTCCTGTGACATACCTCTGTCCTGATGGTGCGGCTGCCCTGGCTGGGACATGTATTCAGGTAAAGGTCAAACAAGACACTTGGGTCAGTGCTCTCCAGGTTTGGGTCACCATCCACACCAGCCTCCAGGCCTTGGAGACCTCCAAATACTATTAGGATATGGCTGGAAGAGAGCAGACACACACACCCAGGTTTATAGGACAGGAGAATACTGGATCCTACCACCAGTACCAGGTCAGAAGAAACTACAGTGTTGCCCCTGCAATCTTTAACAACACTACTTAGCTCTTATATAGCATTTGTCATCAGTAGACCTCAAAGCACTTTATAAAAAAGGTCAGCCATCCTCATTTTACAGATGGGGAAATGGAGGCACAGAGATGAAGTGATTTGACCAAGGTCACCCAGAGCAGGCTAGTTAATAGAGCCTTTAACACCTGTATGCAATTTGCTGAAGGCCAGCACAAGTGATGGTTCTGGCTCTTTGTATGTGCTGTAGAGTAAGTTCAGAACATACCGTATCTAGTTCTCCCAATACACTGAACAAAACACTACTTGGCTATATAACCAGAGAAAAAGGGAACAGATGGCCTTGGAACTAAAGCTGCCCCTGCCCTCAACGGCCAGCCAAGCAGCTGCAAAAATATCCTGAACTGTACCCCACAATGACAACATCCAGTGAGCTACGTTAATGACTGGGTACTCCTGCTTGGACAAATTTGATCAGAAGATCCAACCCATGGAAATGCTCAGGGCTTAGTTTTGGCCTGGTATATGGGGAACTGTATGGAACGTGTATGGAAAGAATATCAGCAGGTAAATCAGGTCTTATCTACACATACAGCCCTGCAGTACCACAGCTGTAGTGCTTAGCAAAGATGCTACCTACCCCAATGGGAGAGCTTCTCCTGTTGGCATAGTTAATCCACCTCTGCAAGAGGCAGTAGTTCCATCAACATAGCACTATCTACACCAGGAGTTTGGTTGGTATAATGACATCGCTCAGGGATGTGGAAAATCCATTCCTGAACGATGCAGTTATATAGACATACGTCTGTTGTGTAGATCAAGCCTCAGAAAAGAGCATGGTGGTGCAAATCCCACCAAAGTGAATGGGAGTTGCATGCTTGCATCTGAGGATACACACCCTACTGCTGCAGAGGGAAGCTTTGTCAGGGAGAATATTCACACTGCAGCACTGGCTACTGCAGTTCTCTCAAATGCACTGGTTGTTCTATCACAGGCATTTTGCTTCTGGGGCTGGTTTGCCAGCGAAGGGATGGGATGAACAGCAAGGAACCAGTCCAGTTACCTGAAGGAGGGGAGAGTTGCTTGGTCCACACAGGTCCCTCGCTCAGAGGTCCCAATAGAGAGATCATAGCATTCTTTAAAAGGGCATTCGGCAAAAACAGCACCTGGGAAACAAGCATAAAAAGAAAGTAGATGGTGGCATCCCCTGCTTTAGAGGGTTCTAAATACAGTAGTTTTAAGCATTTCATACTTTATACACCTAAAGGTTAGTAACTAAGCATTGCTTCTACTGCCTCCTACATTTTAGTGGCATTCACTAGTTGTACTATTAGTGTACAAATCACATCTTTCTCACCAAGATTCCTCCAAATTCCATCAGCAGAATGGCACCATAGTTCTTCTTTCAATCTTAATATCTTTCCTGAAAAATACTGGCTCTTACACCAAATGTTGAACCAGTCCCAGGCTGGAATGTCTGTCAGGAATCATTCAAGGGCTAAGGGGGTGTTTGGATCTAGCTCACACTCAGTGGTTACATACAGTAGGATGGTACCTCTAGTATTCAAATCTCCTACTTCTGAAGGGGCTCTACAGGGATCTTGTAAGTTTTGGAACCTGGTCTGCCCAGGAAGGTCCCACTGATTAGTGAGGGAAAGCAGAAGAATTACTAGGGCTATTAGGAAGCTGTGATACCTGAGCTGTTGGTGCTTAAGGATGGAAACAGGTAGATAGCCAGCATAGGTGCAGAGCATTATCTCTTGCCTGCATTACTATGATCGCTATTAGAATTTTCCTGTTGGGAAGGGAAACTATCAATGTTCAGATATTGGATCATTCCCCATCTTCTGTATCAATGATAAGTGAAGTTACTAAATCCAGGGGGCAGAGAGTAAAAAGGTGAGTACAGGCTCATTACCATACCACCTTTCCTCCACCACCAGAAGCTATATAGGGTCAAGGAAACTAGAGATGGAAAATACCCATTAAATCATCAATGGCAGCACATGGGCCCCAAGAAATAGGAAGAGGATGTTAAAGAAACAAGCATCTGGCTTGTGCTGCAGGTTTGCAGCCAGTACAACTAGAATCTGTGTAGAAGTGAATGTAAATGTCTACAGAGAACTCAGTAAAAGTGGATCTGGCTACTGCTGCCCTGGCCCCAGCAGGTAGGTGACCGAATGCAGTGTAAATACTTACTCAGGCAGGAGGCTAAGCGGACATTGTAACCCCAGTACAGGCCAGACACAGTCCGTGGATGGTTCGAGGACACTATAGTGCCTTTCTGTATTTTACTGTCTGAAAACAAAGCCAGTGGGTTAGCATAGCAAACTGCAGTTCTCCAGCCACTGCTGGAAATCAACCAGCAACCCCCTGTGCCGTGTTCCCAACGCTCTTCCCTAGGGCAAAAACAAGCTCTACCCCTTAAATTTATTAAGAAAAGCCTCTAAGAGTTTAGTCTATTCAGCACGGTCTATACATTGATGAAGCTCAAAACATAGTTGAGCTCTAAACAGCACAAACATTAAGATAGAATAAATGAGTAACTAATGCTCAAACTGAGGGGCATGGGGCTAGTTATTCACTATAACTGGGTATGAGGATTTCTGAACATGTTTAAAGACATGTCTGCCACATGGCATTGCCCAAAGGCTGAGGGAGTTCAGTGCAAAGACTAACTTCTGCAGGACTAAGGCTATACTACAGATCACATTGGTAATATTACCCGTCTAGCCTGTCCAGAGGCAGGATGGCAATGGATTACCTGGATTCTGCTGCTTGTCCAGTTGAACAGTGACTCGAAGACCAGACTCTAGCTGTCTGTCTATCTGTACCTCCTACAACAATAGACCACCAACACAAAGGGTTTTAGATGCAAGGACACCCACCCACAGGAAAGCTACGGCTGACAAGCAAAAAAAAATATCACTTTTGGGAACGCAAACTACACTCTCAGCCAAGACTACAAGTTCCACCACTGAGCAGTCAGACTCCACACTCTGTATAGTGGGAAATGGACTCTATAAAATGTACAGCCCTTCAAGACACTTGGTTGGCTTAGAACAGCTGCAGTGGATGATGCATTTCCAGTTCAATGTGCTGGATAACAGAACAATCGTTGTTAATTCAGGCAAATGGTAATTGGAGGATTTTGCCCTACTGCAGGACCCTAAGAGGCACTGACACCTCTACCAGGCCCCAGCAGAGGGTGCTATCAACATTAACACAGAAACCCTGATCAGCGAGGGGAGACTGAATTAAATAAAAGTGGGCCTCAGGAAGCATGTGTTGCTAGAAACTGTGTCCCATTCCATGGTGGGACATGGCCCTTCAAGAAACTCACTGGTAGCTTATTGCCATCCTAGTTTAATTGTACTTGACCGTGAAAGGAGTGACTGATAAGTGGAAGGAGTTTACTCTGGGTATCTCATGGGCAGACAGGCTGTACCTTCCTCATCCCACAGTTAACAAAGGAGCCTTTGCCTGGCTTGGTGGGCCTGGCTAACACCACTCCTTCCCGGTATTCTGATTCCTCATCTATCCGCACGTGATGAGGGCTGTCCAATGGGTTCAGGAGCCCTGAAACAGTAGAGAAAAGTGGGGGAGGGGGAGAGATATATTGAAGGACAGATTGCACCTGGAGGTAGATTATAAAGGGATTCATCCTGCTTCTCCAGTCCCTGCCCCCACGCTCATCACTCCCTCCCCACACCGATGAAAAACCCATGAAATGGTCCACATGTGCGCACAGGCAGAGAAGCATCCCAGTTATGAGGAGGAACACAAGCATGCTCTCTCGGACAAGGAAAAGCCTTAGCAACTGCCACTCCTTACAGACCATAAGGACACTAAGGCCAGGACCACACAAACTGGAATGGTGAGCGGGCTGCCCAGGTAAGTGAGTAGGTATGTCGAGTGGTGGGAGCCCCATGTCTATTTACTTCACCCTGGGGGAGGGGGAGAAGGGAAGGCCTGTGCCTTAGGGATGGGAACGAGGTGTCAAGGGGATGTAATCACATCCTTACCTGCAAACTGCAGATCCTGATGTTTCGGGAAAAATGATTTTCTCAGGTATCTGTTCAGAGAGATTCAAGTGTCAAAATTGTAACAAGCTTCTTTCAGGCTTCATTTTAATTTCAGATTTCCAGCTTTAATCAGGAAATCAGCCCTGTGGTACCACATACCCCGGAAGGCTAAGGCTCCTACAGAATGTAAATGGGGGATTAATACTGATCATTTTCACCCTACACACTCCTGCAGCTCTTTCAGTTGCAGGATCTTTCAGATCTTTTATTTCTTGGGGGTTTGGGTCTGAATTCTAAACAGAAGTTACTGCTCCTCTGGCTCGCAGGAGCTCTGATGGTTGCCTCCCAACACTGGTAATGCACAGTAGCCCTTTTCCCCTATGCAGATCTCATTCAGTATGCTAATGGTGTGCGTGGACTCAAGATGTGAGCATAACAAGTGAATCAGAACAGAATCTATCTCCAGATAGCACAATACAGGAGAAAAACACATATATAAATGATGTTGGCCCTCCACTACCCAACACCCGCTCCTGCAATCTTTGACAGAGGTGTTACATAATGCCAAGTTAATGAGCTACAGCATTAAACTAAGACAATCTGCATGGTGTGCAAAGCTATCACATTGGTCTTACTGAGGACACTCCAAATATTGTAGAATCCGAGCCAGCTGCACGCAGGCCTGTCCTTTCTTTCCAATCCCATCAAACTGCCCTTCCACAGTCCTGAAAGAAAACGGATGCAGTCTGTGATCTTCCAAGACATTTACACAGCCCCTAGAGTGAGTAGATCTACATGAGGCCGCATCCCATTCCTATTTAATTAAAACGTATACAACTAGAAACAGGAGTTTAAAAAAGTGGTTCAGGATATAGAGTCCCTCACCCTTGTTGGCAATTCAAGTCTGACCCAGGTCAGAAAAGATCTTACATTATAAAGCAGCTATCAGATGCTAGATGGTCTGTGAAAGTAGTAAATGATATCAGACCAGTTCCAACTGGATGGTCGTTGGTCACACAACCACCAGAACTGACATCCTTGTTAATATTCTAGACCAATGACTGGATGGTCCATGGAGCATGATTACGGCTGGACCCTCTGAGTTAGGGAGGAGGGACTGTGGAAAAGCATGACATTCTGCTACCTAGTCTGTGTGAGGGATAAACAGAGATTGTTAGTTTCCAGGGCTGTCAAGCCAGCACCTTTTCTCAGCACTACAAAATTTCTTCCTGTAAACCAGTATGCAGTTTTGCTGTAGCTGTGTCAGTCCCAGGATATTAGAGAGACAAAGAGAGTGAGGCAATATCTTTTATTGGACCAACTTCTGTTGGTGAGAGACAAGCTTTCAAGCTTGCAGAGCTCTTCTTTAGATTCCTATAAATCTAGTGTGTGTTCATTGCATGCTGGTGAGATCCACGCACTTCAGCATTTACGTGAAACCTACTTGCTCTTATGGGACTTAAGTGTCCTATGGAACCAAGCTATTTCTCGGTTTACATAGAGCGTCCAAATTTAGCTTCAACGTTGTACATTTTTACCTTTATCACAGATTTTAACTATAAACCGGGCGCTGAGCTACTTATGCCTTGTCACTTACTCTGTATGGTCTAGTAGTCACATAGAACCAAAATTTGAATGGATTTAGTACTTCTGAAAGATGCCAAGGTGTCAGTCTCCAGAGCCACCTTCCCATAGACCGGAACTGTTCATCTAGTCCTTTGGCTTTTTTGCTGACACTAAACAACGATGCCAATTGTTTAAGCAAATGAAATCTGGACACCTGTCCGCTAGCAACTGGACACACCACCAATTCATCTCACAGGCCACTGAATAGTCACCAGGTGATGGCTTTTGGTCGCTACTTCTGTGGGCTCAGTGCAAAATGGTTATTAACAACCTTCTAGAACCATCCAACCTATTATTTTATTTCAGTCATTAATCCTGCTGTTTGGGGAATAGCCACGGCTGCCCCTGGTTGCCCCCCCCCCACCACACACACGGAAAAAAGTAATTAGGGAGATCTCATCAGACAAAGTATCTGACAAGGAGAAGCTGCAGCTCTGTTTCCTGCTGGCCTTCATTTGAGACAAGATACACAGAAACTGGAAACACTGAGGGACAGGTTATTCAGGGAAGACAATGTGTCACCCTCACCTTGAATCTTCTCCTTGGTCATCAAACACCACAATCTCATCCACACAGAAGATGGCACAGGCCCTGGCAATTTGCCCAGCAAGGTATGTCCGCAACTCTGGAGACTGTGCATTGTTCAAGATGGAGCCTGGCAGAGCTACGCTAACTGTGTAATGACGTCCTAGAAAACAAGAGTGGGATCTAACAGAAGAGCCAGAGCTTGGCAGTTCCACTCATTTGTGGGGACAGCATTAGCTTTTGGTTCTTTCATTTTAATTGTAAGCTCTTCGGGGCAAGGACTGTCCTGTGTTTTCACGGCACCTGGTACAAAGGGGCCCCAATTCGTACTAAGGCTTCCACACTACAAATGATAAGATTCCAAAGCACTCCGATGTAGTGCCTTTTACAGAGTAAGGGCCCCACTCCTCTTCCCACAGAAGTCAATCTGACTTTTGCCACTGGCTTTAAAGTGAGCAGGAGAGGGCAACAAGTCTGAAGTATTGATTAGACTCTAGAGAATTGATCAATGGACGCACAGGAATTTTAGAGAGGATTGTGCAACAGGTTAGCTAGTTTAAAAAAAAACGGACTGCTGCATTCTTCCTACATGAGTATTAAATGCTTCATCATTTTGTATTGTCCAATACACATTTATCTTCTTCTTTTTGGCACAAGAATGGAAGGAGGCTACAATAAGGAGGGATTATGGGATATTGCAACTGAGTACAATGAAACCTACGTTTAGCAACAGAGTTCTGCTGCTCTCTTTAGTGGCCACTTCTTAGAGGTGGAGCACAATTGCACTCTGTACACTTGAGGACGCTTAGGAGATATCTTAAGACAGCAGGTTGTCTATTGAGTGGTCTCACATACACCACTGACTGTACTGAATTAGTGTCTACCTATGTATTTGAACTAGTATGTGATTATACCAGTTCTATGAAAGTTAAGTGATAAGATATCCTTTTCTGCCTATACAGGTGAGATGCATCTCAAGCAACTAAAATCTGCCCCTCACACATTAGATTCTTCTGGCCCTCACACACAGCCCTTCCCATCAACTCAAGGCTGTTACCTTTGTCTTCCTTTGCCTTTTCTTCTTCTTTTTGTTTTTCCATCACCTCCTGCATTCTTTTCTTTTCCAGTTTTCTCAATAGCTTTATTTCCTTCCATTTTTTCTTCTCTTCTTTTTCTGAAATGGAGAATAACCATCTGGTTTAAATAAGAAGAGACACAATAATGTAATGGTTTATCACCAGAATTCAAATACATTCAAAAACCTACTATGGTTAGGGCAGCTAGACAGGATCTGGTGACAGCATGGGGACAAAGAGAGACAGGGGAAGAAAACAGGAATCAAATATGATATCCAGGTTGTACACCTGATTGCCACGTTATCAATAGTAAGGCAGAAAGAACTGTCTCTTCTTTCTTGAGACGAACAAAAATGCTAATCAGGGCTAGTTTTTTGTAACATGAAGACACATCCACTAGAAATTGGGCATGCTTATCACTTCACATATGCTAACACACCAGTCCTCGGATAGCAACTTCTTGATCGTGAGTCAGCCTAGTTTGGCTTTGAATCAACGACCCACAAGTAAAAGGGCTCTAGATTTCATTAAGAACCTGTCCTCCAGCTAGTCAAGCTATTTGATGGATGTTTGAAGGTTTATTTCTAAGCGCACTGGAAATTATACACATAATATGTAGAAAATGTGTCTCCTTACTTTCTTGTTTCCATTTACGCCAGTCAACCTTTTTCTCTTTCTCCTAAAAAAGAGGAATGTAAATAGTTTACTGCTATCAACTGGCTAACAAGGATCACAAAAGTTATCAGTACAATAAAAATTCATCCAGAGGTAGAGGTCTGTCAACAAGCAAGGCATTGGGAGAGACGGGTTAAGGAAGTGACGGTGCCTCTAGAATCAGAGATCCCTACCCCCGATACTTGAGAAGCAGGATTGTGGCCTTTACTCCAGTTAAGTTGTGGACTCTAGCATTCAAGGGGTCCTTTATACTAGTGAAATTTGCACCCATTTTCACAATGTAGCTACATCAGTGTAAAACTTAAGGTAGGTATACTGTACTAGTGCAAAACAGGGCAAGTAAACATACCCGTTTCAAAATGGTGTATTGCATCGAATCCAAGGGTTTGTACAGAATAACTACACTTACACCCCCTTCCTCCCTCCGCAACAAACAAAGCAGTATAGATGGGTCAACACTTTCATTTCTGGCCCTTCTAGGGCATGTCTACATTACACTGTAAACCCAGGCACGTGGGACCTGTGCTTCTGGGGTTTCCAAGCCCTCGCTTTGAGCACCCTAACTGCATTGTAAATCTGGGTTTACAATTGCTGGACCCAGGTCTGATAACCATGCTAAGGCATCCATACTGCACTATACAGACCTTCTGACCCAGGTCTGTCGCTTGAGGTGCATCCACACTACCAAATGACAGGGCTTGGACCAGGTCTCACTGGGACCTGGACTCAGCTCCCTAGCAGGGCTTAAGACCTGGGAGCTTGCTGACCCGAGTCAGACAGATTTGTGTGCGAACAGCAGCAAGGCAGGGGGTGGGCTGCTGAGCCGGAGCTTGACACTGCAGTGTAGACACACCCCCAGTTGGGAGGGTGGCTCTGACACGTGTCTGCGCCCAGAGCAGCAGGCACCGTAACCCCAGCACACCCCCTGTCCGGCCTTCAGCCGGGAACGGCCAGCCTGGGCCCGATTCAGATCCCACCCCCGTGTCACTCCGGCCCAAGCCCCCAGGAAGCCCCCGCCCGGGGAGACAGCCCAGCACA